TAATTAACAGTAGGTCTTGCAAAAGTTGTCCTTAAAACCCAGATTGTTCTCCAAGGAAATAAAGGCCTGGCAAGGGTTCTCCATGATAAAAACTCCAGTTGCTTTCCCATGTTCAAGTTGTTAAGATGGACACTTCTCTTGACTTTGAACAGAAGCAGAGTAAGTGCTCCCACATAAATCAAGACTCTGATTCCCAGTTTAATATTTGTCCATGCTGTCTGATAATCAAAATGTCAGTTCTGTGGCTTCAAGTCATTTCCAATTTGTAGCCACCCTATAATGGGATTTTCCTGGCAAGGTTTGTTCAGTGGAGGTTTGCCATTGCCTTCTTCCCCTGAGGCTGAGAGAGTGTGACTTGTCCAAGGTCACCCAGCGGGCTTCCAAGGCCCAGCGGGGAATTCGAACCCTAGTCTCATTATCAGTATTTATTATTAGTGTTAGTTTTTACACTATTGGCGACCACAGACTAACTAGTAATAGTAGTATTAGCAATTATTGCAATTACTAATTATTTTGTGGTCATATCAGTATTTTATTAGTGTTAATATTTATACCTTTATACGCATGTCAATACCAATAATGATTACTACTATTAACTTTTGGATTTTCTGACTAACGCTTTATATTTTTACTATACAATCGGACCTCTTTTTTCGTGGGGGATCCGTTCCGGTCGCTCCTGTGTGAAAATATAAAACCATGGACTTGAAGTCCGCAAGAACAAAGGGGCGACTGTAATTGATTATCTGTACAATGTTGTTTTATTCTTCATTTTGTGTTTGTGTGTGGCTCTTTCCCTCCCCCCAACATTGTATTTTAGTATTTTATATTATTGAAATAGTTACAAATGTTTCCCTCTGTTTGTAAAGCGCCATGTACATAGATAGTACTCTATATGAATGAACGATAACAACAACAATAATAATTAATATTAACTTGTGTGTAAATATATTAATATTAATATCCTTTAATACTGAAAATGATTTAAAATGTTACTGTTATAAGTGTTAATAACTAGTGTTACTAATTGAGGTGTGACATATTAATTGCAATTAATAATATTAATAATTATTGTTAATAATAATATTAATAATATTAATAATAATATCAATCTATTAATAATTATTGTTTGCCATTAATAATTACTATTCATATTTTATTAATACTAATATGTATATTATATACAACTATATTATAATATATACATATATTATATATATATTATAATTACATATACTTTTTATATTACATATAATATAATTACATATACTTATTATATTATCTATAATTACATATACCCTTAATATATTTATTATTAATTATCATTAATATCTCATAGCAACGCCCTCCCACCCGGAAGTCCTAAAATGTCACCTCAGAAGCTCCGCCCCTCTGAAAGGCTCCTATAAATCCATCGCAGTTTCGTCACCGCCACGCTCGGCCTTCTGAAATCTCGCGAGAATTTAAGTCGGTGGTTTTGAGGTAAGGCGAGGAAGGCTCCGCCCCTCAGCTGTCTCCTCTCGATCACATGATTTATAAGAGGGGGAGGGGCGCGAAAGCTGAGAAAAAAGAGACGGGAGAATATACGCCTTATGTCACAGCGGTCACTGTTGGGCAGCGCGCATGCGTCGGTGGGAGGAGTCGACGTTCTCTCGGCTGAGGGGTGGGGAAGAGAGGGGCGCGAAAGCGGAGAAAGAGGCGGGAGGAACGTACGCATTACGACAGTGGCAACTGTTGCGCATGCGTCCGTGGGTGGAGTCGGCGCGCGAAAGCAGAGAGGCGAGAGGCTCGCCCGTGTTACGTCATATAGCCAATTGTTGCGTATTGCGCATGCCTAGGTGGGAGACGGCGAGGGGAGAGGAGGGGCTCGAAAGCTGAGAGACACGGGAGAAGAATGTTCCTTACATTAGAGCTGTTACTACTGCGCATGCGTACATGAGAGGGGGTCGACGCGCGGTCGGGAGGAGCGTACGGATTGCGTCACAAAGGCTACTGCTGCGCATGCGTACTGGGGAGGAATCGACGCGCCGGGAGGAGCGTACAGGTTGCGTCACAAAGGCCACTGCTGCGCATGCGCATTGGAGAGGAATAGACGTGTGGGAGGGGAAGGGCAAGAAAGCTGAGAAAGCTAGTCGGGAGAAGCGTGCGCGCGACGTCACAGTAGCAAGGGACGGAGCAGTGCGCATGCGCGCATGGGAGGAGTCAGCCGGCGCTAGCGCTAGCGCTCTCCCTTCCCGTCCGTGGCGCCTTCGCCTTCGCCCGCGTCACGTGGTGAGGGGAGTGGGAAGGCGAAGGGGAGGAGCCGAAGGGGTCACGTGACAGTGGTGGGCGCCGCCGCCGCCGCCGCTGCTGCTGTCGACGCTTTGTGAGCGCCGCGGGCAGCAGGTAAGGCGGCCGTCCCTCAGCTCCTCCTCTCCCTTCCGTCCCCTCAGGAAAAGGAGCCTCGGGGCGGCCTCCTCTTTCCCCACACAACCTCCCGCCGCTCCCTGAAGGGAAAGGGACCGCTTCCTCTGACGGGAGGGGAGTCTGGGAAGGGGCGCCGGGGCTGAGGGGCTTCTGAGGCCGGAGGGAAAACAGTCATTCCCCCCTCCCTCCCTCCCTTTTATTCGAAACAATTAGGAACAGAGACCCGGAGGCGTCTCCCCGACTCGTTTCTGAGGAATCCCCCATTCACACGTGCAGGCGGGCAAAGAATAGGGGAGGGAGTTCCTACACGTGTCGAGGGGACGGTGCTGGGGCCTAGGTGAGGGTCCCCCCC